CCCCGCGAGCCACGGGCGGGTCCCATGTTCCGCATGCGTCTTTCCTTGGGCGGGCAGCAGCTGCAGACGATCTTGTAGAAGTGACGAATCTTTTGAAGGCACGCGCGGAGCCGAATGAGTATGACAAGAAGGGAGAGACCCCTCTTTTCACTGCAGTTTCAGATGCTTCGCCAGACGTCGTCGCGATGTTGCTGTTGTGCAATGCAGAACCTCTGACAAAATCAATTCATGGAACTACACCGTGGGAAGTTGCGGCTTGCCGGCAGACTCGTAGCTTGTTGAGCTTCTTCGCTGGACAAGAGCTGGAGGAGACGGAGAAGACTCAGTTGTTGGATTCACTCAGCCAGGGAATGCAAGAGGCAATCGGCCATGCAATTTCCGAGAGGGCGGCAAACCGTCGTGGACTTCGGCCTGCAGAGGAGGTGCCAAACGAAGACGGGGCTCCAATCCGCCAAAGACCATTGCCACCTTTACCACCTGAAGTGAAAAAAGCTCGGGATGCAATGGCTGCCAAGGACTGGCTCGGGCAACCGGTGCATAGTTTCCCAACCGATACCGTAGCTGCACGACCTCAGCTGAGGATCAGGCGAGCCTGTTGAGCTTAGAAAGCCCGTGCAGTGCAGGACCTGAACCAGGATCCTTTGGCATGTGCTGCACGGACCGGCGACGTGGAGGAAGTTCTGCGTTTGCTGGATGGTGGACATGATCCGAACATTGGTTCCAGCCCTAAAATTCCTCAGCAGATTCTTCCTGTAAATTTGTTGACGTTTGCCAGGCGATGAGTTGGGCGAGACTCCGCTCTTTGAGGCTGCTTCTGCCGGCTCCGTAGATGTTGTGGCAGCCTTGCTTGTGAAGAGGGCTGATCCTGGCAAGAGACTTGGCCTTCAGAAGGGTCGAAGAATTTGAGCACACACCTTGCGAAAGCAGGGTACTGTAGGCTGTTCTGGCGTTCGTCGCTGGCCGTTTTGCCATGGCTCTAAGGAGGTCACTATCGGGTGGAATAGCTGCCGACTTGGCGGCAGACTCCGTCACCAGGTCTCTGCTCTCGACATATGCTGGCATTAAGATCTCGGACGAAGAGCTGCCTGGTTGCAGTGCAGAAAGCGCCAGACGTCCACGACTGGAAATGACGGATCCGTGCTGTTTCGCTGAGGAAAGCGGCAGCCTGCGGGGCCATCAAGGACGACGAGCTTCGCGAATCTGTCGCGAACAAGTTCCGTGCTGAGCATTTTCGAGGATCCGTCCTTCCCCGTTACATGCAATTGCTGCGTGCGTAGGGTAATATGCGAGCCAAACTCTTTTAACAGCTCCACGATTTTGCAATGTACATGGTGCGGCCTTGAGCGGATGCCTTCAATTTATGACGGTTGCACAAGTTTCGAGCCTTCCACTCAAGGCTCCCTGTTTCACTTGCGCTTTGCGATTTTGGCTGCATCGCTTTGGCCTTCACCAAAATCGGCACATTCGCTTGCATGCCGTCCAGGAACCGTGCGTCAGACAGATTGAGACATGCCAGGGGAGCCACCTGCAGAGAAACCCGGTGTCCCGTACTACCCCGTCAGCATCGAATGTGTGACTTGGCCAGAACTCGGAGAGAGTGCCGAAGGCAAGTTTGGCAAAATAGTCAGGTCACTGATGTGGAGAAAGTGCATTACTTTGACATGACACGGCTTGGGGCCTTTCTGGCCATCCCGATGGTGTACCAGTCGTACTACCAGAGCTTCTCGGACTGATCTCGAAGTATGATACACATCATCCAACATCTCATTGTTCGTTGTTCTCCTGCAGGCGATGCATACACGGATGCCAAGACGTTCGAAGAGGAGAAGAAGGCAGACGCTCAGAGGCCAGGAACCGTAGCTGGAACTCGACAGCCCTGCACTTTCCGTGTGATGCTTTCCACAGGCGTGCTGAAGAAGCTGCTGCGAGAGCAGCAGCGATCGCCAATGGCGAGGTCTTGGAAGACGCGGAGCCTGAAGCTGTGGAGGCCGGCCTCAAAGCCTCAAATGTCACTTCCGGAAGTGTGTGATACGTCAGGAGAAGCAGCTGGTCATGCGGGGCAATGATGTGAAAATGGTTCTTTGCCTGGACACCCTCGGTGACCATCTTAGCTGTTGAGGTGTAGGTAGGAGTAGTGTCAAGATCCTCTTTCCCGAAACCGTGGCAGCAAGCGGCGTGAGGCAGCAACACCTCCTTCGAGGAGGGAAATGCTGTGAAAGTTCTGGAGCTGGCCAAGGTGCGACTGTCCGTGCACTGGGTGTGAGCTGCACTGGCTGTGAGCTATTTGCTGAGGCCTGTTGCCAGTCTAAGTCCAAGACGGAATTCAAGCAGGCGGGTCGCGCAGGGCATGGGTGTGAAGCTGCTTGTAGATGGAATGACAAATTTGATGGTCAGGTGGATGCCCAAGTGTTGACCGTCATCGATGATGAAACGCGAGCACAACAGAACGAGCAGGCGAGCCTGGGAAAGCCCGCCACAAAGCGCAAGACCCTGTACCTTGATGTATGTACACTGTACGTCTTCTCGCCTGGCCACTGTTTCACAGCATGTTGAAGGTTCGACTTTCAGCATAGATCGGTTCAAGCTTCAATGCGACATGCAGTCGATGTCGGTGAGGATGCAGTGCACTGCAGCAAGCCTACGGACTGCAAGTGCATGCCGGGCCATAGATGCTTGTGCTTAGCCTTGCTATGCTCAGTATGCTCGTAATCACATTCAAGACCTTGAGCAGAAGGCGTGCACGACACTTAATCCTCTAGGCGGAGCCTCTCTAGCTTCAACTCACGGTGTGCTCTGCCGACTTGCAGAAGTCGCGCTGGTTGCCGATGCCTAGCTGATTTCTTGTCCGAGCCTGGGGAAAGTAAAGCACGGAAGCTTTGGGACACTTCCTATTCCCGGATGGCTGAAAAAACTGTAGGAGAAACGCTAGGCCAAGACACGCGGAGAATGCCACTGCCCGGGATTTAAGGGGCGGCAGAACCCGGGTATCCGCTGGCAACAAGAAGTCCAGCCGTCACCGGCTGACCACAGATGTTAGCCAAAAGTGCCGGTGTTACAAAATCGACAGCCAGCGGGCCATGCTCTTCGTGATGCCCCTCTGCGCCGCTGGGCTGCCTTCGTTTGCAATCTGCTGTGTGAAGACGGACGAGACATCGTGGCAGTGCCGGTTGGATTCGAGTGGCCACGGTCGTCGCGGGAAATGACTCCACCCCCCTGAAATCTGGAAGTCCCGAATCGTTCTGGATCCAGCATCAATGCAGCTGGACCAACACGGCTTCTTCGCTAGTTGTTGATGGGCTTGTTGAAGCAAAGGGTTGAGATGTGTGTGGATCTTGACTTGGTGCACTTCAAACATGTCGAAATGTGGAGGAAGCTTGCAGTCCATGCTCCACACGTAGGGGAAAGCTTCCGAAGGAGTTTGCTTGCACTGTGCCCCTGCCAGATCACCGAAATTGACGCGAACGTCGAGCAGATGCATGCAGAGCAGATAGAGGCTGAGGAGACCGAAGCCACGGATGAGGCTAGAAAGGACCGGCACAACTGTCGAGTGTGGCAGCAACGTTTGCCGAGCGTTGATTCAGACATCCTTATCTCGACTCCTCCCAGGAAGTCATTCAGAAAAAATTTGCCTTCCTGCGTGCTTTGGAGGTGGCATGCTTGGATTTTGGAGGCATGAGTTTCTGTCAGTTTCGTTATTTCGAGCTGTAGCCTTTCCTACTGAGGTGGCCAAGGAACTCTCCCCGATGATTGGCGATTTGACCAGCTGGGTGTACGCAACGCCCGAGCTTCTGAACGTTGTCGCAGCCACATGGCTCGACCCTAGCTCGACTTGTGCCTTTCACGAGCTGTTGGTCTTTCGCTTGTGAAGATTTTTTAAGCCGAGGCACTCGCACATTTTGCAGGCTACACGAAGGCAGACATCTATCCCAGGAGAGAAGCCTTTTAAAATGCCGTGCTCTTGTCACAGCATTTTTCACGTCGTGGCAGGAGAAAGACGACCTTAAACTGGCAGCGCCTGAAGCAGATCCTACAGAGTCCGGTTCAGTTACTGGAAAAGGTTGGCAAGGTCGAAGTTGAGGGTCCCAGGCGGGAGAGCTGACCAACTCGGATGTGATCTCTTGATGTCCTCTGCCTCTGCAGGAAGGGTGTTCTTCCGGAGCACCTGCACGCCTACATCACGCAGCTTGGGTCCCCTGCAGAAATGGATGCCGAGAAGGCGAAGGCCTCCCTCAAGTTTGGCTCTAACGTTTACCGGGTTGTCGCTTCGATGCTCGCAGGAGATTGCGCCCGCGTTCTTCTTGCTCTTCAATGTGCTTCAGGTGGGTTGCAAAGCTCTGAGACTCTTGGAGCCCCTCAGAGCTTCAGTTCGGGTGCGCGTAGGCCGGGTGCGCCTATCGCACAGCTGACCTGGAGCTACGAAAGGCCGAGTTCCGAAATCTCGTCCGTGCACAGACTTTGGCTTTGCACCGTATGCCGTTTGCGGTTCCTGCTCTTCTGGTGGCCAAGAGGCAGAGTTCAACAAGCAGAAGGAAGAAGCCGGCGAGGTGGGTGTGTCGGTGTGTCTGTGTGGGCGTGTGGGAAGAACTGCGGCACCCCGGATTGCAGTGGGCCTTCACAGGAGTACGAGGGGCCTGCCTTGGAAGAGCTTGATGACGACTTCCAGACGTCCTGATACTGGCTGGGCGCCAAGTCGCGAAACAACGGATAGCTAACCACGTGTCATGTACCGACAGATGTCAGTAGGCGGAACAGATTCAGCCTCGTGCAGGCAGTGCGCCGCATGAAGAGCTCCTAACGTGCTGAACTTCAGCATCCTGCAAGCCGTTTTGTTTCACTCGAACCCTGGACCCCTTCCAGGGCGTCGTTTCACAATTCTTGCATTTACCTCAACCCAACAGCATGAAGCAAGAAAGTCGAAGGCTCATGCGGCACGGTGTCACCGAGGCGAACAGCGGCAAGAGAGCCTAACTGATGCTTTGCACGTGCTTCCACGGCAGAAAATGGCAGTCCCGTTGTTTTGCATTTCTTTCTGCATTTCTTTCCCGAGCAATTTCTTCCAAGCTTGGCTTCCCATGGCTTTGATGTTCTTTGGTGCTTCGCAGGGCCGTGTCGCAGCATCCGAGGTGAAGACCAGATCCGACATTTGTGGTACCCTCCACGTGGCGCAGGCAATGGGGGAGATGCTCCTAGATCTGCTTCGCATCAACCGGCCCAGGCGGATTGCAATATTCCATTCCAGGCCTTCTTGTCGGTTGGGCTCTCCGAGACTCACCAGCTTTGGTTTGCTTGTCTTCTTCCTGCAGACTCTCAGGTCTTTGAGCCGCATTTCCACGAGCTGGCAAGAACCAACCAACGAGGGCCTACCGCAAGGCTCCTTCGTACGCAGAGTACAGCTGCATGTCACCGTTTGCTTTTGCCTGGCCAGGCCACCCCCCGCGAACTCAACGAATCGCCTCAGACCCAAAATGCAGGTTGCACAAGAGACTACCCTGCACGCACAGATTTCAGGTTATTGTCGTGTCTCGGACCAGAAGATGCGCAAAACTCAGCAAATGCTGAAGCGCACCACCACAGCTTAGGCCGGTGCTCCAAGCGTATTGCTACAGCAGCTCCTGCGTGCAGGTTCTGCAACTCTGTGCGAGAAGCTTCAGCCAATTCGACCGAATAAATTTGTCCACTGCGCCGTCAACCAAGAAATCGAAGAAGCGCAGCTGCCCGTAGAACTTCGTGGAAGCAACAGTTGGCAAAGGCTGCAGCAGTTCGCTAAGCGGGCCAAGCTGCGTGCTGCCAGCAGAGACGATCCGTGCACAGCTCGGAAAGTTCATGAAGGTTCCGAGGCCCTGGCCGCACCGGTGATCGCGAATCGCAAGCTGGGTAGGGCGCTGCGCAGACATTGGCTCAAGACTGGAGTTCTCCCTTATTAGAAGGGTGTTGTGCCTTAGGCCTCCGGCCGGGAACCCGGAAGCTGCCGGCTTTCCTCCGGAAATGCACAGAAGATCCGAGGCTCAGAATGTTTACCTGCTGTTGCGTAGATGAAAAGACGCTTGGCTTGCAGAGGGGCGGAATCCAAAACGAGCGAATTGGATCTTTGATGTGACGTAGAAGCTTGACATCGATGTGCCAATGTGCTTAGGCCTGCTGATTTTGTGGAGTTACAAATGGACAGTGCCTTCCCAGAGGGAAAGGCTGGCCCTGGGCCGCCCTGGAGTCAAGAGTCAAATGAGTCAAGCGAGTCAAGAGCTCCACTTGTTCAGGGCGCGGCCTCGCCAAGCGCTCCCGTGACGTTCGACACAAGGCTGCAGGCTGTTTGCTTTCCTTCTTGGTTCTCCACGGACCTGGGGCCTGCAATGAAGTCCTGCCAAACAAGGACATCTTCCTTGACCGCGCCCCTGGAACCTACTTCGGTGTTGACCTTTCCAGTGCCGGAAAGGCCTTCTAGCAACTCTAGCGTTCTGTTTCTTTGCCAGGCTTTGACTCTTCGTCATGCTTTTTGTGCTTTGCCCGTGTTCTACGTCCTGGCTTAGTTGACTTAGTCGCGTGCTGGGCTGGTGTCTTTGCATTTATTGGCCCTGTCTCCGTGCCTCCAAATGCCTGAAATTGGCAGACCAGCAAACAGTCTTGCTGGCGATAGCGGTGCTGCAATTAGAACTCGATCTTGCCTCAGCATAACGGACAGTAACCACTTGACCATACGTTTTCGTGAGGCATGTGTTGTCACCAGTGTCACCACCGACGGCCTCATCGCGGATTGGAACTCCAAGTGTAGCGAAGAAACAAAGGCAGGTTGGCATGTCGTTTGCCCGAGCTTGCATCGCAGCTGGAAAGTGGACCTGCCAGGTGCAGAAGTACGACAGACTGTATGCGGTGAATGGTCAAGCAAGCGAGAAAAGCAAGGACATGTGACATGTCTTTGTAATGTAAGATTTTGAATCACAGCTCGCAGTTCAAAACCGAGCTTGAAGAGCTCGCTCCGTGCAGGAGATCTTGGACTTGCTGAAATCGACGCACAACAAAATGGTGCTCACCTTCCAGAGAGCAGTCGTGAGCGAGGCAAGTGCTGGATCTCGCGCACATTCGCCGCAGAGTACAGTGACGTGACGGAGCAAACTCGCATCATGGTTTTTAGATGCCACGCCACAATGGAGGGAAGCACCCGGAGCGTCTATAGGGGGCTTCGTGATAGCGTTGATTCGGGATTGTTGAGGTTTGACTGCTGACGCTGAGTTTACAGCAATTTACATGGAGAATCGTTCTTTCTGTGGTACTGGGGTTTTTGCAAAATCGAGCGTATACATGACAGCTGGTTTTGATTTGCCACTTGATGCGATGTCGCTGATGTGTTTCTAGAGCGGGTGCTTGGGAAATCGAGCGTCTACATGGCGTACGGCTGGTTTTGCTTTGCTGTTTGCTGCGATGCTGCTGCTGTGTTTCTTGTGCCGGTGCTTGCGAAATCGAGTGTCTGCCTGCAAAATGGCTGGTTTTGATGTACTGTGATGCAAGTATTTGCTGTTGTGCTTTTCTGCAACGTCGTCGTCGTGATGACATTGATTCATTGGCTCCACACACTGGGGGGCCCTGTAGCTGTTGTTTTGCTTTTCATTGTCTTATCTGTTTGCATCAGAGGCCGTAAGTCAAAGGCCAGGGGCCCAGGTCTTTTGCGGAGCTTGACAATCACCATGTAGGACAGCCAAGGAGAAAACAGGGCATGCTACCTGGTAACTCTTCTAGTTGCTCTTCTGCCACAGTGGTCTCGGTCACCCTGATCGGCGCCGGACACACACTGAATGGTTGGATTGGTTGTGCTGTGATGCCACTGATGTTTGTTTGGCGTGCGTGCATGTGAATTCGAGCATCTACATGGGGGAATAACTGGTTCTGATGTGTTACGATGCGTGTCTGGCGTGGGTGCTTCTCAACTCGGGCGCCTACATGGGGAATGTCTTGGTTGGCATGTGTTTTTGACTAGTGGATGCAACCTTGCCGGCACGGCGTCCACGTGGGAAAGCCATGTTGATGTGACCATGATGTGACCTCATCGCATCGCGCGCGTCCCCTTAGACAGCTGTGTTCCAACTAAAAGTGATGTGACTTAGAGCTTTGACTGTGCATGACCAAGTGCCTGGTGCAGTTTGCAGGTCAAGATTCAGCGAGGTGCCCTAAATTTGGGCATGCATCTGAAAGACGGCCCCCATTTCCTTCTCGTGCTCGGCGTCGATGATGGGGTTGTCAAGGACCGCTGTAGGTCACTCGCTTTGATTTGGAGCCTTATAGAAGTACTGTGCATTGCCGCAGGACTTCAACAAAACGGTGCCTGCTGAGTGCCTAGGACATTACATGGTAGTACCTGCGTAAGTAGGCCAGCGGCTTTGCGGGACTAGGAGTTGGTGGGCTAGAATCGGCTAAAAATCAACTGACAATGAGATCCCATCCCTTTTGGGCAGTTGTCGGCTTAGCCGGTTAAGCAGGATTTTGTGTGAGCTGAGCGTAGGCCGATGTGCAACTGAGGCAACAGATCCAGCAGTCGGACCGAATCGTGGGTGTAGATGGCTTTGAAGGAGTTGGAGCAGCACTCATGGACAAGGCAACATGCAGAAGATGCAGCGGAGTGTTGAATATGGGAGCCATGCATGACGAAGGTCCGAAATGCAGGTTCCGAGGTGACGTTAAAGGTCTTGGCTTGGAGGCGAGATTGCAGCATGCCAGCAGTCTTCTCTCGCTTCTCTCTCCCCGACTGCTGCGGGTTTTGCAGGCCATAGACTGGACTCTGCGGTGATCTGCGGTGCGGGGCCCTCAGCCTCAATGCCGACACGCTATGCGCAGATTGGCCTGCACCTGTTCAAGCCATGCGGGCGCGAGGTCCCAAGTGCAGTCGAGGATTTAGAGCTCCACGCTGGAAGCAGCCTGAAGTGATGTGTAACATATCAGATCAGCAGCGAACCGCATTTGTGAGTTTTTGTCGTGTGCGAGTTGCTGCGGCAGAATGGGCAAAGATATTTGCTTGGAAGTGATGATGTTGGTGTTTCTGCGGAAAGAGGCGTGCCGACAGTGCAGCAACTTGCAATGGCTGTGCACTGACAATCTCACCTTGCCCACAAGCTCATTGAAAACCCAGCAAGTGCTTCTGTTGCTTTGTGATTCTTGGCAGCTGCGCAGCAAGCTGAACCCCTCACGTTTGCCAGATGGCCGTGCTGAGGTGATTTGAAGAGCTCCTGGACAGGGTGCACGAGGCCCGTGGCAATCAGAAGCCAACCCACCTGGGCTTCATAGCGATCCTGAGTGCAGGCTCTGCCAGAGCTTACGGCACAGGGTTTGGCCAATGTGGGAGCCCAAACTAGGGTCTTTCAAAAGCAAATTGGTTGCATAGGTTGCTCCTTGGGCCGTATTCTGGATGGGCTCAGAAGCGCATGGGTAAGATGCTGTGTTGCTTCTGGCAGTCTCGGCTTGGCTCGAGGGTAGCAATTTTCCTCCATTCAGAGCCTCGCGCCGCTGGACAGCTTGAGTGCTGCTTCTGCTTGCACGTGTCGTTTTCCAGAGTTCCGCAGCCCTCGTCGAGAGACCTGTCATTGGAGGACTTGCCATGAGTGCCAAGCTGATAGGAGAGAGTATGACCTTGTATCGGTGCTGTGGCATGTGATTAGCAAAGTTTACAAGTTTATTTTCAGTGCAAGCACTCCGGACAGTAGCTGCTGGAAGCTACAGCTCAGGAGCATCATGAGGCTTCATCGTTTGAAGCTTGACCCGCAGATGCGCAGCCTGGGGGACACTTATGCAAGGAAGGAGTTCAGGCTTCACACCAAGCCCCAGGCCGATCCTCTTACATACCTCCGCACTATGCCAGGCTGTAGTCGGGCTTTGCATCACCCGCTCACAGGTCACGGACTCGCAACGCCAGATGTTTCTGCGAGAGTGGAAGTCCTATGTAGCAGCTTGGCAAGATGGCGTTATGGAAGCATGGGCTGTGTGGCTTGTCGTCCATACCTCGCAGGACATGATCAGCTTGCAAGAGACTGTGGTGGGTCGCACGTCTCAGATTCGAGTTGATGTATCAGAGAAGTGCACACGCGAGCAGAGCCAGGCCAGGAGCTCAGCGCCGAACAGAAGGCAAAGCTCAACGACCAACAGAAGGCGAGCAGAGGGCGCTCCGGAGCAACTTTTCCAATAGATTCAATAGAGAGAGGATATAGATACAGGCTTTCAGGCGCCTCCTGGGTAATCGGCCATGCAGGGTTTCCAAGAGGGCTCTTCCCGTCAACGGATGCGCATGCTCAACGAAGATCACAGCCTGACCACTCGGGGGGAGGACTAGATGGGTTTGGGCGAACGGCGTTGCGCGGCTTAGGGTTGGGGAACGGAGAGCTGGTACACTCGGATGGTCTCCCGATTAGGCCTGCCGGGATCTGCTTCTGGGCTCGATAGGTCGATAAGTTTTGCCGTGATTAGCGGAGACTATCGGTCGCGCTCGCCATCCCTTCTGACTCAGAGAGTCCATGGCCCGAGTGTGGTGGTTTGCCCGTGCATCATAGACAAGTGTAGAAACGCCCAGCTTGGGTTTGGGCCGGTCGGCATTGGCAAGTGTCGATCCTGTCGATCTAGCGCCGCAGAAATTGCTAAGTGTTGGAGGTTCGCCTACATAGTCTGACAGTCCGGATTTCAACAAGTCAGGACTCACTTGTCAGGTCCGAGAGCTGAAGCATGAATCACCACCCCTACGGCCCCTACTCTGAAAGTCGTGGTGCGTGTAGTACAGTCCTGAACTGGCGAACGCCGATGCGCAGACTCGCCAGGTGCAGCTTGACAATTTGGAGCAGTCTGCCAAGTCTCTGGCATCTCAAGGAAGCTCATAGCAGCCTCACGGTGTGCCTCACATCGAGATGCGGTGGTCACGAGCTGTGTGAGATGCTCAGATTACTAGCATTCCCTGTTTAACTGTTTCACCCAATCACACCACTTCGTGTCGCAAAGCACGGCGGTGGAAATGACTTCACCGAGAATCTAGACACTCCGGATGTGTTGCCTGAGCTTACTTGGTGGCTGCGGCACTTATCAGTGGTGTATTGCACACTTGCTGTTCTCGCGCAGGGCTGTCAGCCAGGATGGTTCAAGCAGGCTGCCATGGCCCGAAACAGCCGCCGCAGGGGCGGCAACTCTCAAGGGCGAGGTAAAGGCCCAACAGAAGCTTCAGACAGCGGTGAACTTTGTGTAAGTGTGCGCTTGCGTGTGTTGGGTGTCCTGCCAGGTGCAGGAAGAGGTGGAAGAGGTCAGCAAGATGGGCGCCAGCCACAGGGTCATCCTGGTCCAGGCCCGGATATCCTGTCACCTTGCTGCGCTGTCGCATGAGACCTTGAGTGATTTTGCAGACAGGCGTGGTCAGACGACAGAAGGAGAAGCCCTCCCGAGGTGGCCGAGGAAGCGGGCGAGGCAACAAGGGTGGTGCTCGGAGGCGGAATGCTGGGCGAACGAACGCGGGCCCTTTACCGGCCTCTGTGCAGACGGAAGTCAGCGGCTTGGACGGGAATTCTGTGTTTTTTGTGGATGGCCAGTCCGTGCAAACCTGCACCGATCGGCTTCGGATGCTGCTGCAGCATTCGTGAGGAGAAGACGGGATGTTTCGGCACTCTGAAGTGGAGAAAGCGCATGGAGATGCTGTGATGTCGATTGTCATGGCAGCTGACTGCATTTACACCGCTTCGCGTGACAAGACATTGAAAAGGCCGGATGCTTGTTGCAGGCCTTGTTGTAGTTGATTACCCAGTCAAGTACCACTAGGACGTCGAAGCAGTTTTCTGTCTCAGTCCAGTTGGCCGCGTGCAGGTGGAAAGTCAACCGAGCCACGTCTGGCAAGTACGAGCTTTCTGTTGAACTCGAAGTGCCGCTTGGAGATGTCTGTTGGTGTCTCATCAGCGCTGGAGACTGGCTATTTTGTGGCCTTGGAGATGGGAGCATCAAGGTATCTTGCCTTTTCCATGTGTGCGCTTGCGATCGCTTGCGTATGAACTTGGCCAAGCTTGCGGCCTTGCAGGGCTTCATGAAGTCGGGCACAGAGACGGTACTCAAGGGCCACACGAAACGTGTTGCCTGTCTCATGACGCACCAGCACGTGCTCCTTTCGGGGGCCTCTGATGGGTCTGTGAGATGCTGGCAGATGAATGTGCATTCGCAGACCTTTGAATGAAACTTGGCTCAGAACTTCGCAAGATGCACGGATTGAGACAGCTAGCTGCAGCTAGCTGCTTCACTGAGGCACTCATGCAATAGACGAGGGGATCTCCGGTGCTGTCACGTCGCTCTCGGTTCTTGGCGAAGGACTCTGGGTGGGAGGAACCTCCGGAGTGGCGCTGGAGCCTCGTCTTGGAAGCAGGGCTCTTCCCTCTTTGCATGTCGTCGGTTCGATTCACGCAAACATGATAAGAGCGATGTGGTGTTACACCTGAGGTTGAGTTAGCAACTTTAAAGGTTGTGAAGCACCTGGAGCCGCGAAGGTTTGTCTCAGGCTGGTTGATGATCGTGCTTTGACCTGCGGTCCCTGTACCTTGTACTCCTTTGTCAATGCTGATTAACCAGGCCTCTTGCAGTTCGATGGCCATATGAAGCTTGGCCTACATACGGGCTGTCGCATTTGATCGACAGAGCAGGGCCGAAGTGATGAACTTAGGATTGTGGTGTATGCCGACGGTAGCATGTGCATTTTCGACGGTCTGGGCGCTATGAAGCACAAGCAGCCAGCATTGCCTGCTGGACCAGTGCTATGTATCGCCTCGCGGCTTCACAGCCACATTGCTGGCGGAATCGTGGCCGGAACGCTGTTCTGTCTTGTAGGTTCCATCTGAGGCTGGCTTGGAATCCGGTCCACGAGTTCTGTGTGGTCATGCGAAAGGTCAAATCAGCTCCATATCCTTACCCGACTTCGTCCTCAAGAAGTATTGGCATGCATTGGAAAGGTGCAAGGCCGGAGACCTCGGTTGTAGAAGCCTGCGGCTTTGGATATTGATGCCCCTGCAGGTTCAAACCCTGTGCTGCGCTGGCCATGATGGCATTTACGTTCTAGGAGCAGAGAATGGCACTCTGCAGCTGTGGCAGAGGGATGGGTCAGTCGATGCTCTTTAAAGCCAAGCATCTCCCCTTGAGCCTGTCGTTCAGATCCGGCATGCGCTCCACTCTGACGTGTGGCAGAGGTACAGTTGCCCACAGGAGGTTGTTTCACATCGTTTCACCCTGTTAAGTCAATGTTAGGTGCGACTCACTGGCTCCACTGCAGCTTTGTTTCGTCTTATGGCGAGAGGCACGGAACTCCAGAATTGAAGTGCAAGGAGCCAATGCTGTCGATTACCCGGAGCTAATGAATAAAGAAAGCTATGAAGTCCGGCGAGTCTTCTTTACTCCGAGGCGGCCTTGATAGGCAGATTTGTGAGCATCCCTCAGCTGTTGAGGCTCCGAATCGGGCTAGAACGCTGGGCGCGATGTAGTTTGGCTATGGCTCGCTCTTCATGGTCGTACAAGCCTGCAGCATCAATGCGTCTTCGACGTTGCAAGGTGCCCCAAAAACTCAGGCATTAGACAACCATGGTCCAGAACTGACTTGCTGCTGGAACTGCTTCGCGTGCCCAGTAGCACTGTGACATGCACATAGCATGCACAAAGAGGAGGCACCGGAATACTGGTCGGACTGGCCACAACTTATTCTCCGACCTCTCTGGGTTCCAGCTCCTACTGCTATCTCATGCCTGGAAGAAGGCTTCTTAGGTCTGTGCGGCTATGTTGAGCAACCACAGTACTGCTGGGTGGCCGAATTCTCGTCTGAGCTTTCTGCGCCGGCCGGCAGCGGATGGCCAGGATGCCAAGACGTATTGCGAGATCTAGTGCAGGGACACCTCGCTTGCAGGACGTGCTTCACTAAGCCTTCGTGTTCTTCAACTTTCGAGGCCACTTACACGACAAACCCGGCAGTTTGCCTTGTGAGCCCTGAGACGTGTCTGGCGGATTTCTTGGCAAAGCTCCGGGAACCTATTGGCGCATTGGGCGATCCACCTGTAAGGATAGGTGCCCATCTTGATTCCAAGCTGACGGTCGGTATTGCTGCGCACCCAGTTCTACTGGATGTACGGTCCATGGAGGCCCTAGCCTGTGAGTTCTGTGAACTCTTCAACGTGTCATTCGAGTCCAGGCTTCCTGTGAGGGACAGATTGGACAGGGCAGACTTCGCTCATTGGCAGAGGTGTGCAGAGGCTTCGGGGCTTTGGAGCTCAGCTGTTCTGCGCCGGACTAATGCGCTCCGCGAATTTTCTCTTCAAACTCCCAGGGATGAACCGAAAAGGCGGGTTGACAGAAGCCAGCAAAGCAAGCACCTGCTGGAGCACCTTCATCTTCCAATGATGCAGCTGCGGAATGCGGCTACAGAGTTGCAAGTGACAGAATTGGAGCTTTTCTTGGCGATGTTCGTACTCTTACTTCGAAGCTGGCGACAACGATTGGTCTTTGGCTTGCCGCACTCTTGCAGACGGGATTTGGACATTGTGGGCTGCTGCACCAATATTCTTCTTGCCTGCCTGAACACGCCTTCCGAGACTTCGTTGTTCCAGGCAGCCCATCACGTCCATGCAGAGCTGCAGTCTGCAAGGCGCGATGGCGCAGCTCCGATCGTGGAGATCACGAAGGCCTTGCAGCGTTTGGAGTGTTGTGAGCGGAAGGTTCTCTACGACGTCTTCTACGACTGGCGACCCCGTTTTCAGTTGGACCGTGCTGTGGTCAAAGAGGCCTTGGGCGCTGGGTTCAGGAGCAGTTTTGCCGACTTGGAGATTCTTCTTTTGGGCGGCCCTGGTGGCTTTGGAGATGCCGACATCAGCTTCGTATATCACCCTGAAATCATCTCTGCCAGCACTCTACAGCACCTCATGCGACACCTGAAGGCTCTTGTGAGAGGCGCCCACGTTGGAGCGGCCAGTATGACGACAGAGACCTCTCATCTTCTTTCCCATGCCGAAGCCTCTTTCCCTGAGCGTCGAGTGACATGCGGTACGCTGGATTCCCTAGATGGCATGCGGGCAGTTGTCGCTGCAGCGCTGCCGCATGATGACACTATTTCCGACGACTTGCCTTTGGACAGCCTGGGTTTGGACTCGGTGTCCGCTGTCTTTCTGCAGGGCCGCCTTTCAGAGCTTTTTGGGCTTGTGCTACCGGGGTGGCTGATAGCTCAGAAGTCAACGATGCAGCTATCTTTGGAGGCCGGGCTTGGCGACCCTTGCGGCGGAAAGGTGGTGAGCGGCAGACTTCAAGCTCGATTGGCTGAGGATAAAGACTGGCAAGCTTTGGCCGGTATATGGAGGCAGCATCATCACTTGCTAGAGATGGTGCCGCAAACGACTTGGCTTTTGCTCACAGGGCCACCGGCTTGGCTTGCGGCTTCTGCTTTCATGCTGAGCCTCTTGAGATTGGACTGGACTTCGCTAACTTTGCATTCAGGTGCCTGTGGTTGCCAACCCAATTTCACTTCTTTACCCGGATGACATTGAGAGCCCGCAGCCCCGTAGACCAAAGAGAGAGTCTTTCATGGGGTAAGAGCTAGAGATGATGTTCTTGGAGCAGCTGCTGGACTTTGCCCCTGCCCCCCTGCCCCGCCACCTCTGCAACAACGTTGAACATCGTGGCCAGTTTCTGAAAGCGTCCGCGTTGACCCCGCAGGTGAGAGTTTGCAATTGCGGAACGACATCTGCTTCAGGGCCTCGGCAGCATATGTAGTTCTGGTTATGCTCCAGCACTTCTTGCACTGGCTGCTGGCGAGATGGGTGCTTTTTTGGGACCTCCGCCTCGGCGAGTTGGCGCCAGGAGGATGGAAGAAGGCGGATTCTGCGGTCATTTTGGTAGAAGAGGTCGATGGCTCGGACGAAGCCAAGGCCAAGGTGCTTGGAGTTGTGTGTGTGCGTGCAGGCATGAGCCGTGACAATCATAAACAATCGGGGATCTGCTGGCCGTTTTGTTGTGGGAGAAAACGATCTGCGATGACGAGAGTGGCGTCTTTGTGGGACGCTGCACTGGTTCCAGCAGCACGGAACCAGGGAGCAGCAAAGATTCTGGTTGACTTCGCAGAAAGCTGGGCGCTGGACATCGGGGCGAAAAGACTGGAGGCTGTTTGCCTCAATCAGGCCGCCAAAGCCGCTTGCTGGAACATGGGCCTGGAGCTTTGGAACCCACGGATCGCTCGCTTGCCCTTGGCTCCTGCCTTCTTCACAAAGGTTCTCCGGACCGGGGCGCAAACGTCCCGTCAGAGCGGGAAGCGGATTCCTGCTGACTAGCGAGTGTCGCTTGTTCATCTTGCACGGAGCTTTGCAGCCATAGACATGGGGACAGATCGATGGGCAAGGACCAGGAGAAGTGGCTCGGGTTTCGTACAGGTGTTCGTGAGCGCAACACGCTGAATGGGCGCACGCGGTCATCAACGGGCCTGATTCGCTTCTTTGCAGGCGCGTGCTACAAAGGTCACCAGCCTTGCAGCGCAGCCTGCCGGAGTTGCCAAGCGGTACAAAAGGACCCGAGCCCCGCATTCCTTGGTCTTGTCGAACCCGAATGCATGTGCGTATGCACTCCCAGGCGGGTCGATGTTCTGGGAAGCCGAATCTTGGGTCCGCCGCTCAGGGGCTCAGGGTTCTTGCTCGGATCAGCCTAAGCTCCCAACCACCCTCCACAGCCAAATCCCAAGAGGCAGAATTTGTATCGACAATTCTTCACAACAGGACACTTCCGCTCGCAAATTGTAGAAGGGATCAGATGCGAGAAGCCCAGGCCCGAGCCGCTGCCAACGTGTCTGGTTGAATCTTCTCAGACCGCGGCTCGGAGACCGGGTTGGGGCGCCAGAAGAGGCCCCCAGGGGGGCCTGGGGGGCCTGGGCTGTCAGTGGGCCGCCGAGGCGGCGCATCAGGGAGTCTACGGCCTCCCAATTGGCGAAGACTTCCTGGGCTTTGGCCACGCTGCGTTCATACCTTGGCCTTTGTCGCATGCACCATGCACCACGGAAATCGTGCTTGAACGGAGCTGGACTCTGCTGCTATGAAGAAGGAAGAGCGAACCAGCATGAGAATAGGCAAGCGAGGTACCTTGCAGACGGTAGAGGACACGACCATCGTTCAGCCTGCGCAGAGCAAATTCTCTTCACTGGACTTTTTATGTTCTTCCCGCGATTGTTCTGCGGCGAAGGGGCAGAGCGGACACTAAGGCGCTGAGGGTTTATGCATGAGCCGTCGCGGGCCGTCGCCATGCGCAGCAGATGGCGAGCCTTTCCAGCATCTGGAGCGAAAAGCAGGCCGGAGATGACAGTGCGAAAGTCGCAAATGCCGGCAAAGCCCTGGCCGCAGCCTCCCGTCAGCAAGAAGCGATTCTTACGCAATGCATGGAAGCATGGGGCTGCATGCGGCTGCTTGTGTTCTTTCTTGTTCATGACCACTCTCACCCTAGTGGCCCTAGCCTGCCGCTTTGCACGTTATGCTTATGCCAGAAAATCTCACTGCGATCTTAGAAACGCTGCCTTCGCAGACCCGGGTCCCTGGATCCGGGATTCCTGAACATGTCCGAGCGAACGGAAAGGTCTACACTTCAGTGGCCGTCCTGTGCGTGCTAACGATGATAGCCAGGCCGAGCTGATTACAAGTGTCGTAGTTTCGAAAAGCCTTCGTGCCGGCAGGCTGCTTACAGCGCGATTCTACGGGCTTCCCTTCAACCCGCGTCACGCGCTGTTCTTGTTGCTCTTGCGCTGCTCTCAGACAGCGTCAGCCTGGTAGATCAAATTCACGCGGGGCTGAACGGTGTCCGTTTCCCGAGGCTACTACTTTTCGTTGTTCGAATCGTGAGCGATCTTTGGGAACTTGGTGCCCCGGCTTGGAGCAGTTAGAAGTTTGAACGCATCGCTTGCATTCGCTTCGTTTGGTGGCTGGCCTGCCTCTAAGGTGATGGGAGGCCTTTCATTCATGAAGTCTGGGCCCATGACTTGATGTTAGAAAGCTTTCATTCTCGCAGGCTCGTGGCGGCAGGGTCAAAGACATGGATGTATAACCTGCTATCGACAGGCTAGGAGCCTTCGTGCAGCCATTTCGCGGCCTGCTAAGATTTGAAGGTCCTGTCATCGTTTTCCTCACTATCTTCCTCGTGCTCCTCTATCATCTCACCTGTGTCCTACATTCCATCAGCCTCGCCAAAGAGAGCCTCGAGGCGGGAGTCGCGGCTTGCTGGGACACAGGTTCAACTCGTCAGCTTGCTGCTAGGAGGCCTACTACAGGTCTGTGGCAGTGGGCCTCGGGTCCATGGAGCGCTCCAGCTTTGCCGACCATGTGGTTGTGCGTGGTCTTTGTGGCAGGCACACTGCTGCAAGAGCATTGCCTCAGATAGCGCGAAGCATCATCACGAAAGGTGCAGGGGGAAGGCTTTCCTTACGTACTTCGGCTGCTTCATGGTCACGACAGCGATTACTTTGTGGGTGGCTCGTCCTCAAGAACCTCTCATGCGGGCTGCAGTGCAGCAGTCCTTGCTGGCTGAGCAGGTGCTCTTCGTGGTGGGCTACGTTCCAGGCTGAGCTTTCACACATCTCCAAAATTGGTGCTTGGTGGAAGGTGGGACACAGTCTGCCCCAAGGTCGCCACACTTCTTGTCAAGGATCGGGGGCAGTGAGTTTACTGCAAATATCGAAGCCAACGGCTGCCCGGGCTGCCCGGGAAATGCAACGAGCGTGTCATCCCGTTTCCGACGCTGTAATCTCAGTAGCAGTTCTTTTTAGATTTACAGGGGAAGTTCATTTCGACATGTCAGGGCTGCGGATACAAAGCTTGTACGTGTCTGCTATTATGGAACATCTTGTCAATCCTTCCATTGTGGACATCTGGCTATGATCCCTTGAAGGGAGCGGTGCAAACTCGAGCCCGGATGAGCCATGCCGCAGCTGCCCTCGCAGAACGCTCGAAGCAGCCCCACTGACAGCTGGAACGGAGCAGGCGGAGGTGGACCGCCAGAGCTGACCGGAGAGCGAGTCGCCGCAGAGCCCAGCCGCGCCCAGGTTCCGAAAGTGCAGACTTGAGTCCCCGCAGCTGGCCCAGGCCACACGTCTAAGGACATGTGTCTCAAACTTGTCGATGCGTAATGTGCTGCAAGCAGGTCAGAGCCCGATTCTCCTGGCCCAGTGGCTCTGGTGAATTTGTCTATCCCGATTGCCATGCCATGCATGCTTCGGTCTGCAGCTAGCTTTTAGTGTTGTGCTTGTGCGTTTGCTTGGCAAGGAGAAGCCGGGAAGGGCGGGGCTCAAGTCAGTTTCTACCGCTGCGAGGGCGGCAGTTCGCTTCAGGCGCGGCCGAAAGAAATATGGATGACGTGGAATTGAATTTGCAGCTGCCATTGGAGGCACCTGGCGACGAGTGCGAAGACCAACGAAGCAAGCGAGAGCTCAAGCGGAGGCTGGAGAGCCCCTTCGAGGATGTTCCAGCAGCGCCAATTGCCATGAGCCTGCCCACGTTGGCACTGAGTTCGCTTGAGGTCGTGAAGCACGGCTCATTCGCCGACATCCTTTCTTTGCCGACACTTCCAAAGACTTCCGCGAAGAGACACTCCCTCGCACTCGGTCCTCCTTTGCATGCTGTGGTCGGAGAGCCTTCAATGTCGCTGAAGAGTGTCCCTCCCAGGGTGGTGCAGGCGGTGAGGCCCTACAATGTAGACGCGATCGAGCCCGGGATCTCCAGAAAGGTCAGCGCTGCTCTTTGCCGCTTGGGCTGGCGCCCCATGTTTCCTCTCAGGCGGACTCCCTCTCTGATGCGCTCTTCGACCCCCTGCCGGCGATTGTGACCAACCAGGCCAGCGCCTTCATGCCAGCGACCGGATCGTGTCGGCGGAGCAGAGGTCATCATGCAGCCGGGCTGTCGTGTTCCTGACGAGAGGATCCACGCCCATCATGTTGTTTCATCTTGATGCTGTGGAAGTGAAACGACATGAGATGGGTGTGGTGGAGATTCTACCGCTGGATCAGGAAAGGCATTGTCTTGGCCATTGGTGACCCTCAAGACCTGCAGGCAAGCTTCCATCTCAGAGACTGGCGCAATGACATTTGTGATGACAGCCAGGTTCTGTACAATCAGACCACACTCAGCTCCGACTTGCACGACAGCTTCATCCCAGGAGTTGCTGGCCAGGCCAGCTCTGCGGGAAAGGTTTGTACGGATGTACATGGTTCTTCACTTGCAAAGCACATCCGTGCCAGGATGTCGCGTTTCAGCTAGTGGAGCAGAGCTTATTCCGTGTGCAGTGGGGGCCCCACTTGCCTCGGCCAAGAGCTGCGTGTCTTTGGCTGGCTGCAGGAAGCGGCCTTCGGCGGATCTTTGCCTGCTTCGTGCGGACGACCTGGAGCGCTTGTCACAGAGGCCAGCTACATGTCGCCGCCACCAGTGGAAGCATGTTGGTTGCGAGGTATGGTGAGGATTATCAGAAGCTGCAGCAACGTGCACGAAAGATGACGTGCAGCCTTATCCGGGCATGGGCTCGAAAGCTTCTCAGCCAAAACTGGGGCAAAGCCGGGGCTTTCAAAGCCCAGCTGCCCGGCCCGAGCCGTGGGCAACTCAGGTTCCATATGCGCTGCTATCCCAAGCTTTTCTGCAATGTTTCCCAGGACCCCGAGTGAAAAGCTTTCAAGAGCGGTGCCACCTACAGCTTGCAGGAGTTCATGTCCACCTTCGCGGATTTGATGCAAGTAAGAGTCCATGCAGCCGGGCAAACGATCTGTGCCGAGGGCGATCCTGGTAATTTCGGTTTCTTGCCACATCTTGCCACCTTTTGGTCCATGCATGTCTCGAGTCTTGGGCGAGGGTGGCCGTCCCAGCCGAGGCTTCTACCTCCACTCAGGTGCCGGACATGACGGACTTTGCAACGGGGCATGGGGGTGCACGGCAGGACGCGCGCTGGTGTGTCGGGGCAGCACTTCCATTATCAGATTGCTTGTGCCTCAGCCGGTCCAGGACCTGCCAGGTCCCGTAACTTGGAATCCGCCCAGGTCTCGAGAGCAAGACGGTGCTTGGAAGAGTTGGTGGGGAATGCTGGAGGCGCTTCCCGCACAACTCCACGAAGGGTAACCTCGAGTTCCGTCGCTAGGGGAAGATGTAGATATGGCGGCTATCGGCCACGCAAGTTTGCAATACGCAGCCAGTTGCAGCCAGTTGCACAAGGCAGCGCTCTAAGAGAACACTGGGCCCAATGCAAATCCAACACCTAAGCGAAAATCGCACCTCACTTCATGCATTCGGCCGGCCACCCAGTATTGGCAACAGATGAATAAGCCCCTGCCAAGTCGGTCAATGCAATTGGCAAGTTTACAAGCAGTTTGGCGGAGTCTTGTGGTGTTCGCATTCTCGGCATTGAATCCCACCGTCCCATGTGGGGAGGTTGGTGCAACATGTGTCGAGCAGACTCTGGGCGGCATCTGTCGACAGCAACTGCCGTCAGTCCTCATGGTGAACATTTGACAGTTTTGGCCTTGCTACGGAGGACTTGCACTGTGGTTGTGGGAGGCTCAGATTTGTTCGGGTGAAGGCTTCTTTGTCCAGGGGCGATGCAATGTCCACCGAGGCCGAGAGCGACTGCGTGGCATGGGTGTTGCAGATCAAAGACTCGGAGGCTCGGCCAGGCACAGCGCTGACGTGCTTTGGGCTTTGGGCTCTGTGTCGAAGGAACTCCGCGTCAAGTTCCCGCGCGAGAGCGGCCTTTTCGATCGAATCTCCATCAGGCCACTCCAAGTCTACTTTGTGTGTCTCTCGCTGTGTCTTTTACTGAAAGCAAGCCCTTTTGGTGTCATTTGAGGGAGGGTTGGATGTGAGCAAATGCCGGATGTGCAAATGCAGAGCCTGCAGAACTCTGGCTCACAAGGTTTGATGTGAGCTCGGCCCCTCGGCCATTGCTATGCCGTCCGGCAAGAAAGAGCGCCAAAAGTCATGTCAGTGCATTCCAGGAGCAGCTTGTGTGTCACTGGTTTGCGTCGCATTTGCGAGCCGCTACAACATGCAGTTCGTAAACCATTCTCGGCAAATCCAGCCCAACATGCACAGCAGCTCAAGACCTGGCACGACGGCAAGGAGCAGAGGTTCCAGGATTGGCATGCTTGCGGTGATGGAACCTCCTACACGCAATGCACCCCCAGAGACAGCCGAGCCTACGCAGCAGGATGCATCGGCTTGGGCAGAGTGCATCATCGAGGAGTGTGATACAGAGGGTTGTAGAAGGATGGAGAACTGGGTTTTCCGCAAAGAGCATGCCACAGACTATCAGGCCTTCCTGAACGTTCGAAACGTGAAGCCGCAAGGGTTCCTGCCGTACCATGGACAGACCCAGTACAACACCACCGTGCTTTGTAAAGAGCGGTCGGTGGATGTGTCGTTGAGTTGTGCTGAGTGTGTGCGGCTGATCATTGGCGGCCCCTACGGGGCACGCGGAGTAGCTGTTGCGGCATTTCCTTCACAAGATTCCGTGCTTCCGTGCCTTGAGCTTTCCAAGCCACTGCCAATCACGAAGCCACAGTCGGGCGAGAGATGGGATGGCAACCAGGAGAAGCCGAGGCAGACTGCATTCTGCAACGTCCTGAACCTAGGCATGTGAAGCTGTGAAATGCTGTGAACTAGTCGAGTTCGATCGGGCAAGTATCGCACAGGAGTTTTCCATTTGTCAAAAGCAAACCGACCCTGCGAGCTACATAGTGCTTTTTAATTCACAGCCCGAACCGTGGCTGAAGTGTACAAAGAGAGAGGTCCCCTTTAAGATTTTCCTTTCACGCGCATGTGGGCCTAGCACCAGCAATCAATTGAATTGTAACAGATGCTTCTTATGGGAGAGCGGAAGGCTCTCCCAGCCGACACCTAGAATTTCGCCCTGGCCAGCATTCCTGGTGTTGACACGTACAGAAGGCTATCGGATATCACGCTACGCAAGCCACCCTCGTCACACATTTGCTGTGTCTTTCGTGTCTCAAGGCCCGGAGGCTGGGTCCGCCTTGTTCAGCGTTTCACACGTCTCCGAGAGCCTTTGCTAGGGCACTCCATGTCAAGAAGTGGCATGTGTACATCCAACCGCAGGCATGGAAACCTGAGATGGGACGAAGTTTCATGGATCTCACCCGAAAACAGGAGGTTTTGTGGTCCAGCTTCAAGTACGGCTGGGTTGGATGCAGTGCCTCACTGTCTGAGGCATCTGCAACTTCTTAGCCCGCACATGGATGGCATGCAGCTTTCCAGCATCCGGCATCATTCGGCTTTCATTGATGCCGTGCCCACAGCACAGCAAAGTCAGGCGAAATATTGCAATGTTCGCTGACTGCGGTCAAGAGTTCCAGGAGATGCTGAGCAGCAGCCCGGCAGATGCCCTGCCACGTGAAAACATGTGGTGCGAGGGTGCGGGCAGAGCTGAGGCAACTTCGTGCAGAGGACTTGCCGATTCCCTCGCGCCCGACAGAGTCGGAAGTTTTACACCCGCAGGATCTGCTCAAGAGATGAGGTTGTCGTGCAGGAAGGAGAGTTTGGGGAAGAAATGTTTGTCCGAAGCCTACAAGGGTAGCCTCCGCCTTTGTACTCGCATCGACGTGTGAAGAGGTGCTGGTGCTTGGGAAGTGCAAAGTTCTTAGAAGAGCGGCTCTCAGTCTCAGCGTCGTTTCTGCTTGGCCCTGGCCTTTGACTTGGGCCAGGTGGCAGCGACCGGCCTCCTGGTTGGATTTTGCGCCTGCTCTGGACTGGTCTTCACGCCCACGGTCTTCCTTAGCTCAGGTTCAGTCGGCTACATCCGGGAAGCTGCTTTGGAGGCCTCGCTGCGCTGGGAATTTCCAAGACGCGAAAAGAGACCGTCATGGCGACTCGGACTGACCCATGTGAGCTGACGTGCGTCGTCCGCCGAAGTTCGTTTATGTGAGACCGGCTTTCCAAACAAGGCTGACACCGTGTGTGATATCCGGGCGCTTAGCCGCAAAGCACTCTTGGCTGTGCTCGATAAATTCCCGGAAGAGGAGGAGCCACTCAGCCTGCACTCAGCTGAAGGTGGTCAGGGGGCATTGCATGGCATTGCCATTCCCATGGTCTCATTTGAGGCGAATGATGGCCATCGTGGAGGCACACAGCCAAAGCAGGAAGGCGAGGCAGACTTGGTGCCTAAGAGTGCACGCAGTCACAGCCATGGCTGTAGGCGGCCTCCCTGGCACTGGAGCAAGCCAGCGCCGGCGAGGGAGGCTTCAGTCAGGACTTCTAGCTGAGAGCTTCTGGTGGGACCGGAGGTCCTTGCATTCTCACGGCCCTCGGTGAGGATTTCATTCGAATGCTGGTGGACAACATGTAACTTGGACTAGTTCGCAGCGGTCAGGAAGCAGCACAAGCCCGCACGCTGCTAATGCTACTTGTGCACCCATTCGGATCTACATAGATCGATCTAGATCAGCAAGGAGTCGCACCCTAATCAAAAAAAGCTTGCGATTCATGCACTGCCACCTGGAAACTTTCCCGAGCCATTCCATGTTCTGCCTATTCATGTGCATCAATTCTGCGAGCCACAGCAAGTCGCTACTCACTGGTGCAAAAACGCGGCATGGATTGGGGCGTCCAGGAATGCGGCGGAACAGTCGAGGATGCCTGTGGAACGGATATCTGGCCACTATACCCTCCGACTGCGATTGATCAAGCCGCGCATGGTCCAGCGATCTACCCTCTGAAGACGACGGTCGAAATCAATAGTTAATATGTCAAGGAGCCTTTCGGGCTCCTCGCTCGCGCGACGAACCGCCAACTCAGCATCGAGCCGAGGCCCTGTAAGTCCACAATCCCGCGTGCTGGAGTCGGTTCAGTGTATTTTCAGCCGTCTGCTGCAGACGAGCAGTTCCTTCGTTGTAAGAGTTGCGAGCAAATCAGTGCTAAGGTATGAGCAGCCCTACATGGTGAACCAGGTCATCCTGCAGCAGGGAATGCTAGGCCTGCCTCGTTGTCCCATGACTTTGTCCGATGTCCGGATCGTGTTGGCTGGGCAAGGTACCCATTTCGTGGTGCTGGTGCATGGAATTGTGGAGATTGAAGCGAATGGAATGGTAGTCGCGACCGTGATGCTTGGAAGCATCGCGAGCTGAGACATGTCTAAGGGCGGGAGACAGGAGACGCAGGGAACAGTTCATTAGGAGATGTATTGGGAGTGCCCTTGCAGTTGCAGTCGTGAGCCCAAAACGCCGAGGAGTGCTCCTGGCATCTTCGGCGAGCGTGGCTTCCTGGTATCCGGCAGTCGAAGTCCCCCAAGCGGCACGCAGACTCCAAGCTTTGCTGTGTCATACCTTCCTTTTCCTCTGTGAGGTGGAGCAACGGTGAGATGCACCACCGTGGCCGAGTGCATGATGCTTCCTGTCGATGGCCCTTCCACGCCAGTGACCTGCCACTATATCGGAATTTCCTCGCCCAGCTAAGAGACAAGGAAAGGGACACCAACAGAGTCCCTACCCCGAGCAATCCTAAAGTTCGAGGAAGGAAACAACAACCTCAAAAACCTGAACTTGAATCTCCGGCTGAAGCCTAAACGTTTCGGTGTCCCAGAGAAGAATCCTGGGGGCAAACGCGGTAAACACAGCTTGGAAGTGGCACAACCAGATTCATTTCAATGCGACCTCGGGACGGCTCGACGGAAGTACGGAAGAGCCACTGTCTTGACTCTATGCGTTTCTCGGAGCTTGACAGAATCAAGGAGAGTCCCTGCAAGGATGCGGGAGTGCGAAGTGTTGGATGGTGAATCAGCAGGTGGTAGATGTGTGCACAGGGCAGAGATTGTTCTTCTCCACTTCGATTCCGTCGGAGCTATGCCAAATGATGTCAAATGGTTTGACGAAGCAGGACTCGGAGGCGTACACACACGAGTCGGAGTTGAAGCATGCTGAAGCATGAACGAGGAGTGCAAACATAGTCATTCATGCAGTCTCCACCTTCCCTGCGTTCATTCATTCTTTTAGCTTGCTGTGTTCGCTTCTGCCTGCAGTTCCAGTTTCAGATTTGATGGTTTTTGGTTCCACGCCTCAATTTTGTCGCCAACGGTTCGACGGTTTGTGTTTCTAATTTTCAGGCGGCGTTTGGGCGTGCGATATGATATGCAGCGGACATGCAAGAGCTGAATCCGGGCGGATGACGGCGGATGTGAGCGCGACCGCGCATCTCGCGCTGACTTTCGACTTCATGTCAACTGAACAATTCTCTTGGTGCGTCGTCCGTTCGGCACTCCGTGGCTAGGTGATCCGGCAACTGTACCAGGCTGACATCCAGACGCTTGGCGAGAGAATATAGTGTTTGTTTTTGCCCGCAGCCTTACCAGCTGCTGTGCTGGCTCAAGTGAATCCTGCTTACGATTGAGCGGGCCTAGTGGGCATGAAGCCAGATGGGCACCAAGAAAGACAAATCCAAAGACAAGAAGGCTTCAGGCAGGAAGAAGTCAAAAGCCAAGAAGAAAGAGAAGCACAAGTCCAAGAAGGCGTCATCCTGTCTCCGTTTGCTGAGTTCTGATCGGGTTGTTGTTGGCGATAGTATTAACATTAGCCCCCCCTGTCCAGGCCCACAAACATGACAGCAGCAGTTCATGCAGTTCATCAACTTGCTCGCACGAGGCTCTTGTTTGTCTCCCAGCTTACAACCCATTGCCACTTGATTCTCTTGCAGGCAACGCCGAAGGCCAAAGCCCCCAAGGCCCTTGACACGGGGATCGCGCAGGAGATCCGGGCTGCATTGAAACGGCGCGCCGAGACTTGCTTGCACCCGCAAGGGTTGAGTCCAGTTGGTTAGTCCCGAAACGCATTGGGCATGCCGCATGCCTCCGCTGAAGAAGCTTCTGAGGAGGGCGAATCCGCCACGGACGTGGCGACAGCGAGGGATGATGCATTGGGTCGGCATGATGCGCGGAAGACTCTGCCAGGTCCAAGTCGAGATGAAGTCCTTAGCGAGTCACAGAAGGCAGAGCGGGATGCATTGAACCAGGAGGCCGAAGAAGTCCTCAAGCTGCACAGGGACCTTCGGCTCCGTGCAGGGACCGGAATGTGAGCCTTCAACGCCCTGCCGATTCTCATTGAAGACATGGATCACATGCTTCAAGGATCTGGAACACTGGCGGAGGCGCCCTGCAGCACAAGGTGTTTGCCCGGATCGAGTCCCGAAGCGCGCAGACGTTAAGATGGCCGATCCTGCCATCTGCTGCACGGCTCCTGCGAACAAAAACCCGTGTGTTGGGTTTGACAGCATGGAGACGGAGCGATTTTCAGCAGCGGTAGCCCCACCAGGGAGCAAATGCCTGCTCTGAGGAAGTTGGAGCGCATGCTCCAGAAAAAGATGCAGTCAACCGTTCAAACATTGTCTCAGAAGGCCTGCGAAGAGAGCTTGGCTGCTTCAATCGCCTCATGCTTCTACAAACGTCTGCTTCGCAGGGTTCCAATTTACCACAAGCTCAGCCGGGCACTTGCGTGATGACATCTGCTGTCGGGCCACATGCTTCCTTGAACCTGAGGCAGAACACAAGCTTCCTGAAGAATTGTGACCCGTCCTTCCTTACACGCATGGCGCAGCATTTGGAGAAACAGGCCTTGAGTAGCCTAATGCTGAACTGAGCTGGACTTGCTGCGGTCCCAGCGCTTGTCAGGTGTTCATGGCTGGACAACCTTTGCTTGAAGAGGATGTTGACGCAGGATTCTGCCTGCTTATCCAACAAGGCAGGATATGCCTGTATCTGTGCAGCATGGAACGGCACAGTCCTTGCACCCTTCATCTTGCAGGCGTGGCATGCGTGGAGAAGGCAGGCTGGACCCCCAGGTTGCACGCATGGTTGTCCTTCAGGCCGATTTCTTGTGCGACCAACCTGTTCAGCAAGGCAAGGTCGTGGCAAAGATCGGTGCGGGAGAGAATCTTGGATGCAGTGACGGTTGCGGAAGTGGCGCTGGGTTCACTGTAACGGTGTGCTGAGGTTCATAGGTGAGCTCGTGGCGTTGGGATTTGCCACTGCTGCTTCTCAAACCATTCGAGCAGAAGAAAGGACCATGCATGAAGACGTCAGAAGCAAGGGGTAGCCGATTCCGAGCCGCAGGGTGCTGGCGTTCGCCATAAACAACGATGCATTCCGGGAGCTGGTGGACGAATTTCCGGAGGAAGCAGCGCAGAAATGAGCTATTCGCGACGGTGTGATGAGCTCGGAAGGAGAAGCAGAAGCTGTTGGAGCTGGCCCGACAACGCATACAGGCAGGCCCGCGGAGACATCACGGAGCAGCGCCACTGCAGCACTGCGCTGCGCTGCGCTGCGCTGCACTGCATGATGCCGAGAGGCCAATGCTGGGCGGAGGCGGAGTTCGCGAGGTTTGTTTGGTCGACCAGATCTCCTCAAGGTGGCCTGCCTTTCCCAATGGTTGGAGAATTGCACACCACCTGAGTCAGGCGGTGAGTGTTGTTGCGGCATTCCAGAAGAACGAGGAGCGACGATCCTCTCGAAGTCTGACCGGTGACTTCCTCAGCAGGCACGACATTCCCCGACCTGTGCTGAGAGTCATGGCAAAGAGGCGAGGGCGCCTTGCTGCAGCCGGAAGACACTCAGCAGGCATTCGAGGTGCCTGCGGGTGACCCAGTGCCGCCAGATCATGCAGCAGGTGCGACGACTTCCCGGCTACCGGAGCGGTGTCAAATGGGTAAAGCAGCGACGTGCAGCGCTTGAGGAAGCAACGTGCCACAGATGCAGTAGTCAGCACGCCTGCGTAAACAGATTCTGTTGGGCACGAAGGTATGTAAAGCTGAAGAGAACCACACTCAGAAACCAACAAGCACCCGGTGCAGACCTCAGCACTAGCGACACTAGTCTTACACTGGAGCTCAACGTAATTGCTGCAACTCCGCGCCAAGGCGACGAGTTTGAGCCGTTGATGCCGCTGCCTCCACTCCAGGGCTATCGACCCCCCGAGAAGGGTCCAGGAACACCTTGGTCTGCGCAGTCGCAGCGTCAGGCAGGGGTATCATTGACATTCATTGACAAAACGTGCGAAATCTTTGTGTCCTCTTGTGCTTGAGCAGGCCATGCCTGCATCGGTGATGAGGTTGCGCAAGTTCAAGAAGCTGTATGGGAGGCGGGAGGTCTAAAAGCACAGCCGCGGGCCTTCGCTAGAATCCGCTCACATCAGGAACGTCTGGCTCGAGACGTGCACTCCGTGGAGCCGACCCAGCATGTGCCACGGCGGCGAAAACGGTGTTGACACTGTGTTTGCTTCAATGCAGTACTCTACGTGTCAACGGATCGTAGACCCCCGGCGTCGGGCAGCGCAACGCCAATCGCCGGCCTTGCAACGGAGGCCAACGTAAGCACTTGCAAAGTCCACAGTGTCGGGAGGGACCTTGAGCACCGAACCATCCGGAGGACACGGGCAGTTCTACTGCTGCACGGCCTCGTCCTTTGGAGCTGAATGACGACGGGAAGGTTCCGTTTCAGTTGTTGCTTTGGCCCTTGGCCAGAAATTCCAAGCGCATATGACATCCTGCGCTTCTCTCCGCGCCACGATTAGCTTCATCAGCTGGATGTCGACCAGTGCTCGTGCGCAGGATGAGGCAGCTGTCACGATGGAGCCTGCCGCACCAACTTCGCCGGAAGCAGCGCAAGCTTTGAGACATAAGCTCGCCGGAACACTCGCCCAAGCCCCATGCGATTGTGGACAGGCTCGTTAAGGTACAGCTACCTCATGCTTCCGAGGCGCCCTCTATGTTCGAGCAGATGCACAAGTGGTTCTCAGCCGTGCAGGGAGATGAAGAGGAGCTGCTTAAAAACTATGCCAGCATAGATCCTCAAGCAGCGAAAGACCATGCATGCACCGTGTACACTCGAAGGAAGATAACAGTTCAACAGCCCACCAGTTTGACCACGACGACCACGATGACCGCGACCACGACGAAGACAACCACGACGACCGCCATGACCACCAGGACGAGCAGGACGACCGACCACGACCATCACCACGAAGAGCACGACGAACACGAACTACGCGAACTACCATAGTGACCACGAGCACCACCACGATCAAGACGATCGCGACCAGCAGCACCAGTAGCACCGGGACCACCAACACCAGGACCACCAGACGACCACGAAGCTGGAGGCCGGCACCATCCTGAAAATCCTTTCTGCCCCCTTGAATTGGCGGGATGAGCACGGGCGAGCCCGAGAAGCCTCATTCGGCTTGGATTTGAGGCACTCTGAGCGTTTTGAGCCCCAGCACGGGGCCGGGCCGGTACTCTTGCGAGCCGTGGAACCGCCGAGGGCGACCTGACGGGCGTGCCTCGCGGTGTGCCTAAGAACTACCTCGTTCTTCTGACGAAAGAATCGCGTGTTGCCACACGGTACGGTTCGGTCAATAGCTATCAGGGTGCCATTGACAAGACAGCTTGCGAGGAGCGCAGCCCAATCGAAAAGCTGAGCCTCTTTCTGCAGCAGGCAGGCACCGGCGGCGTTGGCATCCATTGCAAGGGCTGTTTATCATCACTTGCTGTTGAGGAGGAGGAGGCTGAGGAAAGCTACAGACGAGAACGTGCCGCTGCACGCTTGCTTGCGAGCTCAACATCCAGTCTTCATACATACTTTGTTGAACCTCGCCAGGGCGACATTCGCACCTTTGCAAGGGCTTCCATGCGTGGAAGGTTTTCTGTTTTGGTCGAGGCACGGCTCCTCCGGCATTTCTCCATGCTACGTGACGTTTCGAGCTCATCGATCACCTCTCCTCACTTTGTGCAGGCACTGCATCGAAAAGCGCTGCTGCGGCAGATGAACCCAACATTGTCGACCTGGACTACAGCTCTCGAGAAGGTGCGATGCTTCCGCCGATTTACAGACGGCAGACAAAAAATTGCAGACGGGAGTCCTTGCAGACAGGCGGGGAGGGATGGTTGGCTTTGGACATCGCGGACCGCGAGGGCCTCAATTTGACAAGTTGATGGATGTCTTGTCCGACATGTGACCTGCCAAGCGTGTCCTCGAGACATGCCAAGCGGGAGCCAAACCGAAATTAACAAGAGTTTCAGGAATGTAGAATGAAATATGTTTGCTTGTGGATGTGACAATCGTCAGCGTGGATGGCGGGTTATCTGAACAGGTGTTCCCCGTGGCCATTTTTGTCTCAAGGGGCGACACCCAACTTCTTCGAGAGGGTGCCCCAGGAACGGGTGAGACTCTGAGAGGCTGCATGGACCTGGCGGTCGTTCCTTGGGACGATCGGTGGGGCTTCGCTGTCGGCGGACCAGTGGTTGAAACCGGGGCTCGCCCGTGGAGCGCTGGGCGGGCATAAGGAGGGCGGTGAACTTCGTCAGAAGCCGACGCAGGCTCTCCCCGGCCTTGGCCCACCTCGGTCACGTCCCAACAAGGAGGCATAGAGCCGCTCGACGCGCGGCAACAACACCCGGCCCAGTCCTGCACGAAGGCGCTGCGGTGCAAAATGGACCCCACGCGAGGAGCAGGGCCGCCCGCGGCGTCTCCGGCTCCTGGACCCGGCCCGAGCACTGGGGCATCTTCAACCCAACCGGTGCTCGGCGACTCGAACTATCGTCTGTCCTCGACCCGACACTTGACACCGAGGTCGCTCCCCTCGGCCACGCCGAGATCCAAAAGCTTTATCAGGACTATAAGTTTGGGCCGCACGGCTTGCGCCTGCTCCGCAAGCAGACATTCACGTCGTATACGCTGAATGTGGCCACGGGCGATGCGTGTACGACGCATGGGTCGTGGCATGGACAGTCTTCAGGACTCCTTCTCCTTGAGGTCGCGGACGCAGAAAGGCTGGCCAACTTGGAGCCTTCCAGCTGACATTCGATGGCATATAGGTCACAAAGGGGGGATGGAAGATGCGGGCTACCGGACCATTCGGCGATGCAGTGTCTGGATCTGGTTTTGTGGAACATATCCAGAAAGGCCACCCTTGGACGGAGCCGCTTGCGCTCGCTTATCGGGTCTGCGCTCGTTCCTGTAGGCGAGGCCTCGGCCCAGCCAAACACTTCCGCTTGATAGGCTGGTGCCCTTAGAGCAAAGCTCCTGTGAAGTGTCGTCGGGACCCATCCTCCCGGTCACTTCGACAATCGTGGCTATACATCCGTGAAGCCCCTTTGGCACACTTAGCCGAGCTTGCCAAGCTAGAGGCCTTGCTGGCGCAAGCCAGGCCGCTATTGGCGATTCTTGAGGAAAGCTGGCATGATGATTGTCGCACTCGTGCCACACCAGCCTCTCATCGCGAACGCTCTCGAGTGCATCTGGTGCTCAACACAGCGAGAGGAGGTAAGCTGCACACAAGTTTCACAGACATGTCTGTGACACATAATGCACTCAACTTCAAATTTTGGCGTGCATGTTGCTTGTGGCCTTTCGCCTCAGGCGAGCCCAATTCAAGTGAGTCGCAGCAAACCACAAAGGTCGCAAATGTAAACATTGCTGCCCGGATGTGAGAAGAGCTCCATCGGACTCGTCCGGTTCATCTTCTTCATCCTCCTCTAGATCAGAGTCATCAGAGAGCAGCAGCTCTTGATACACACCCAGCCAGCAACCGCGCCACAGCAAGTTGGACGAATATGGCGTTTGTTGGCCATGGTCAGGTGGTTGTCTTTGCCCATCTGAGTTCTACCGGACGACCTTACGAACAACAGTTGAAAACAATTATGCTGGGTGTGTGCACTAGTTATGGTGGTTGCTTGGGGAGCGGCTCACAATGGTCGAATAAAACATGTTGGTTTGTTGACGTGACAATCGTCAGCTTGGATGGCGGGTTATTTTAACAGGGCTTGCCCTGCGGCCATTTTGGTCTCAAGGGGCGACACCCAACTTCTTTGTCCACCCACCCGTTCCCGGGTGTCTTTGCCCGTTTGAGTTCCACCGGACGGAGTTCAGTGCTAGCAAGCAGAGCGACCCTACGACCAACAATTGAAAACAACTATGCTGTATGCTTGCACTAGCAATGGTGGTTGCTTGCGGAGCGGTTCACGACTGTCGGGGGGGATCTTCCAAGGCGTTGTCCAGATGATTGACAATGTGTTGGAGGCAGATGAGGTCAAACAGGAGCATTCGAATCAAGGAGAGAGTGCATCTTTATGAGCTTAAGCAACTGGCAGGACGGCGAGTTCTGACATCTCATTTGCGCAGTTTCACTCGTGTGCTGGTGGTTTGCTTCCGAAACTCGGGGGCTGCCACCCCTCCCATGTACGGCTAGGACAGGTAGGTTCGACAGGGCCCAAGGCCCCATGCCGCAGATTGCCAGCCGCCCCACCGAATTACATTCCCGGAGAGTAGGTTTTAATCTGCATATAGGTGCGTGTGTATATATGGCATCCAGCAAGTCCCGCCTGCTAGGACGATGATCAGCATCATGTTAGCTTCTTGTCTTGGCATAGCAATTGATCCTACCGTTGGCTTCGTGCGCAGTGACAGTTTCTCAGGCGTTGCTCTCACGGTCCTGGTGGAAGCACCCATTTTTGTGGTTTGCACACTGACTGGCCTGGGCCTCTTCGCATTCGCTGTGCAGCTCCTACATCGCTTGAGGCAAAGTCAAAATTGCTAGTTCTTCGTGGACGTTCTTTTGATGGTAGCGGTGTTGGTGGCAATGGTCTGCTTGATCAGGCGGCTCAAGATGATGCTGACCAGCGAGCAGGCAATTGCGGCACTGCGTCAGGGAGCCGCTCAGAGGTATCAATATTTGCTAGAGACCTTCCTTTTCTTTTCCCTTCGAGCACGGCCCTCGCTCCCGCCCTCCCTCTCTCCTTCACCATTTCCGGTCGCACCAGCCATCCCATTGTTTGCGTGGCATCTCTACTAGGTACAACCTGATGGGCGAGCGTCAGAGAGCTCCTACGCTGGCAGCTCTCAAACGCGGGCAACAGCAGAGGCCACACGTCATTGGCTGCGTAGGTTCCCAAGCTCGAATAAATCGGTGGACTGATGCGGTTGCTGGATTCGGGCGTGTCGGACATGCTTACCAAAGATAGCGGGCCAGTTCAGAAGGGAGTTGTGCGGCCTTCTAAATGCATCGGCAATATTCGAATTCATTCCTGCATTCCGGACATATTTTGTATGATTCCAACATCTCCGCAAAAGTATTAGTAGATCACGTGTCATTCCTGAACCCACTAAGTCCATTGCCACAGAATCTCTCTTTGCACTTGCTTTGTCGCGGGCTTGACGGAAGATGCATTGCCCTGTCTTTGCTAATCTAAAAAGTCTTTCACAAGTTACCAGTAGCACAGCAACATGCATGCCACATGGTGGCATGACGAAAACTGTCCTGGAAGATGATGAGTCGATGTCATACCCCAGCCTAGTGTTTCAAGTTTCTCTATGCGCATCTTCATCGATGAGACACCACATTTTTAAAGTTTTTGTGTACTTTCTAGTTTTATGTTTCTCAATTAGGTTTTCAATTTTCCTGATTGTTTCGCATTTTCATAAAAGATGATTTTATATTTGTCGGCTTGATTCCTTTGTATTGGATCGCCCACCCTTTAGATAGGTTTCTGAAATGCATGGCCCATATCGCCAGATTTTGTGCGATGGTTCACTGTTGCGTGTTCTGTTCTGTGGTGAGTCACGTGCAGTTGGTATGAAGAGATCGAGAATTAGCTTCGACTAGCGTTACGGCAAGGCGGACCTTTCGCCTTCGGTTTTGGTGTGCGCCTCATATTTTTCTTAGTTCTCTTTCAGTCGGCAACAGTGCGACCAATTCCGAAACCCGCATCTCCCAAACATTCCCAACACCCTAACGAAGAATTTAAGTCTGGGGATAGTTTGAGCTTTACTTTATGCCTGTGCGGAGCAGGCTTCCGGGCTCAGGTTTTGGATTCGCCGCTGCAGTATGCGACGTTCCGAATCATGAAAACATCCCTCTCGCAATTTATTGGATAGGGTTGACATGTTTCAGATTTCGTGGAAACGTTTGAGAAGGTTCGAAGTGTGTCTCCGCCAAATGATTCACATTCGGCCCGGCTTTCGTCTGCGCATATGCGTGCATAAGGTCAGAGGGTCGTTCGAAGTCGTCCAGCCCCGCCCCACCGTCTTTGGCCGGCCATAAGTGCAGACTAGCACAGACCCTCGAGTAGAGAATCGTGGAGAAAAGACGCCTCATACTTCCAGTCAGGGCATGACGGGCGATCCTCGGCATCCGGCAGGCCTCATCCAACGAAAGCACGGAGCAGCTGGAGCAAACGGGCAGGATGGCACGGATCATCAAATGCAGCTATGCTGCAACATGCCGTTTCCACTTCACCAAGGAAAAGCACTGCAAACTCTTGCTCTGCCCCGTTGAGGTAGCGAGGTTCAAGCTTCTTGTTCAGGCTGGCCGGAGTTGCTCGGCAAATCGAAACACATTCAAGCATTCGCCTGCATGCAGGCACCAGTCTGTCGGAGAGCGCCGTCGGTCAGGCTTGGCCTGCGTGCGATGTTGAGAACTAGTTCGGACAGAGGAGCAGTTGCGGGCTCGTTCAAACTTGGCCTTGTCAATTTAGGTTCCCAGGAAACAGCATGTTGGCAAAGTCCTTAGTTCGAAGTCCGCCAACACCAAACACCCATTTAAAGCTGACGGCTTGCAGTCTGTTCCCTGGATCTTGGCCATGGCAGCGATGGGACTTGTGCCAGTGCCAGCTCCGAAATCCAGAAGTGGAAGCTTCCGTTTTCCTCAACAAAGTGCACTGGTCCGCAGTAGCGGCTTGGAAGCACGCAGTCGCCTGCGGCGCAGTCACTAAAACTGATTAAGCCGCAAGGCCCAGACCTTTCGTCTTCTCTTCTGGATGCCGAGAAGTCCTTTGCCGGCCTGGTTTCTGGAACATGGGCCGGAACCGGCATCTGCGATCTCCGTGCATCCGTGACAGCGCAGCAGAAGCAGGAGCTGTTACATCCAGTGGTAGCAGATGTCTTCTTGAAATCACGCTCTGTCAAACATGCTCTCAAGTCTCTTCTGAACCATCGC